CAGGAACTGGGTGTGTCTAGTTTGATGAAAAGAAGGACTAGGGATGACGTGAGTAGCAGCGTTCCAGTATTTGAAGGGCTGCCACAAAGAAGAGGGAGGGGGGTCAAATTAGTCTACAAAGCACCAGAGGGCAAGAAAAGAAACAATGGTTGGAAACTAATCAAAGAGAGAAGCAACCTAGAATAAAGGAGAAACTTCCTAGGCTGCATAAACAGAGGGATAGAATCAAGATCAGGTGGAGTGGTCAGATCCAATTTGAACTGATCCAGCTGTTTTGCCAACTCTTTCTCATGGTGGCTGTTTACCTCCAACAACTGCTTCCTGTTAGGGCCCTAAGGAGCCCAGGTGGGCAGGCGGGGAGTGACTGGGACGGGAGGGGCGAATAGAGGCCGGGTAGGCGCCCCTTGATGTGAGTGACATCAAGCTGGCCATGCCCACCCAGCCAGTGAGATCATATTAGTGGTCCGAGGGATTTAAAATTATGAATTTAGTGCTCCTTGAGATCTGAAAGGTTGGTGACCCCTGATCTAGACCAACTTTTCATTCAGGGAGTAAATGTATTCTTAAATAGGTAAAGGTACATATGCACATATGTGCTAGTCGTTCCTGACTCTAGGGGGCGGTGCTCGTCTCCGTTTCAAAGCCGAAGAGCCAGCGCTGTCTGAAGACGTCTCCATGTTCATGTGGCTGGCATGACTAAATGCCGAAGGCGCACAGAACACTGTTACCTTCCCACCAAAGGTGCTTCCTATTTTTCTACTTGCATTTATACGTGCTTCTGAACTGCTAGGTTGGCAGAAGCTGGGACAAGTAACGGGAGCTCACTCTATTACGCGGCACTAGGGATTCAAACCGCCCAACTGCCAACCTTTCTGATTGACAAGCTTAGCGTCTTAGCCACTGAGCCACCGCATCCCTTAACGGTAATAGTTAATTTAATAATCCTCAGAACAAGAGTATATTGGAGCAAATTGCTGAAATTTTGAGCAGCCCAGACTGGGTCCCTTTGGTTTGTAATGCCTCTTTATTGGAATCCCTTATTCAAGATCCCATATTTTGGGGGAAAGGGAATCTACAAATTTCTCCAAAGAGGAGTGCTTATGACACAGAAAAGAGATTGGCTTTTTATTTTAGAGAGAAGGAAAATAACAAAAGCTTTCAAAGAATGGGGTTGTTTTCTTTTGGAACTTGATTACTTGTAGTGGGGTTCCCTTTGTTTTGATCTTCTTTTTTGCATTTTAAGATCATATTTCCACCAAATACCCTATTTTTCAGAGTATAAGACGCACCTTTTTCCTTCAAAAAAGAGGCTGAAAATCTGGGTGTGTCTTATACACTGAATATAGCATTTTTGCCTCCCGAAACCCCGCCCCCTTCACCAAAATGGCCGTGCATAGCCTTTAGGAGGCTTCCAGAGTGCTCCTGGGGGCTGGGGAGGGCAGAAATGAGCATAAAACAGGCTGTTTTTTGCCTAATTCCCCCCCCTCCCACCCCCTGGAGTACTCTATAAGCCTCCTAAAAGCTATCCATGCCCTTTTTTTGACAAAAAACTGGCCCGTTTTCGGAAAAACGGGTCGTTTTGGGGAGGTTTGCAGAGTGCAAAAACTTTTTTTAAAAATTTGCCTCTTCAAATCCTTGATGTGTTCTTATACTCCGAAAAATACAATAGCTTAGGCCAGCATTTCTCAACCTGGCAACTTCAAATTGCATAGATTTCAACTCCCAGAATCCCCCAGCATGCTTTGTTGGGAAATTCTGGGAATCCAGGTCCATAAAGTCTTCAAGTTTCCAAGGTTGAAATTATTAGGATAATTTAGTCCTAATCTAATAAATGGCTGCATTTGCCTTTCCAATTATATTCGTTATAATGATAGATCCTAATCAATGTTTTTCTTCTTCATACCTTTCTATAATAGAAATCTATATGTATAAATAATATGCATATATCTATATGTATATCATTTATATTGTATAGAACAGAATAAAATAACAGAGTTGGGAGGGGCCTTGGAAGGGTTGGATTCTTCTAGGAAACCCTACACCACTTCAGACCAATGGATATCCAACATCTCCTTAAAAACTTCCAA